ATAGGTGGGTGAGGAAGAAGTACATAGGAGTGTGGAGGTGGGGGTCCAGCCGGGACACCAGGATGATGGTGGTGTTGCCCACAAGGGTCAGGAGGTATGCAATCAAGATGACCACAAAGAGGATCCTCTCGAGATGGGGATGGTCAGAAAACCCCAAAAGGATGAAATTTCCCTGGGTGCTGTCATTGGTCCCATCCATCTCTACTGCACCTGAGAGGAATATTGATACTAATAATACTTATATCCATTATAGGGAACACTTACAATGAGCCAAACATTCTTCTGTGCTTCTTTACATTTATTTACTCATTTAACCTCTAACTACAATGATTTGCAGTTGGCACTCTTTTTATTCCTGACTTACAGAAAAGGAAACTGACACAGATATGTGTTAAGCAAATTATCATTTTCTAGAAAGGAGCAGAGCTGGTTTGGAACCCAGGGAATGGAACTGAGAACCTTCTTCCTTTACTGCTGGAATTGATTCTAATTCCAGTGACAGGAAAATGTTCCTAAGTTCCTGCTCAAATCTCAAAGGTCCCAGATGAAGCCCCACAATAACCAATTAATAGTATTTAGAATATCTCCACTATATGCAGAATACATCATCCACTCTTTATCCAAAAGGCAAATCTCGGGCACCTGGGTGCTCAGTTGGAGAAGTGTCCAACTTCAGCTCAGGTCATGATCTCACGGTTTGTGGGCCCGAGCCCCACATTGGGCTCTGTGCTGACAGCTAAGATCCTGGATCCTGCTTTCCATTCTGTGTATCTCCCTCTCTCTCTCTGCCTCTCTCCCGCTCGTACTCTGTCTCTCTTTCTCAAAAATAGACATTGAAAAAAAATTCAAAAGGTAAATCTCATTTATTTCAGTGTTATTATTGAGGAAATTTTACAGCACCTGAGTAGATAAATAATGTATGAGACAATAGAATATTAGTAAAGCAACATCCACATAAAATTATTCCCTCTCTACCCCTCTCCCTCTCTTTCTTTTGCTCTCTCTCATTTGGGTATGGTATTCAAGAAATAGAGTATTTTTTCTTCCAAAGTATTATACAGTGTTTGAGGGGAAAAATCACAATATCATGCAACAAATAATAAAACTTTGATGTGATAATCACATATGTGTGTAGAAACATCTACCAAATTGCAATTCCAAGAATGAATCACATTCAAAGCAAAGCATTTTTGAGAACATAAACCACAACTCTTGTAGATCAATATAGAAGAATAGATTTAAAATATCTTGGGCTATAACTCCAATCTCCCATGTTACAATCCTTTAGCCAACAAGAGACACTTATGAAACCTTGGAATGTTTCTTTATCGTTTCATAGTTTTCTCATCTAAAATTGTGATAATCAAACTATCTTATTTATTTTACAGGTAAGTTTTGGGATTTTTAATATGAAAGAAATATAATAAATATGAAAGTTTATATGTATGTCACATAAAGGTTATGTGTTATACAAATAGGGAATGGGAAAATAAGCCCATGAGAAAAGTCAAGGAAATTCTGAAGAAAAAAAAAAGTCTAGTGAGAGGAAACTATCCTTAATATACATCCAGACATACTATGGAAATGCAATAATTAAAACATGATCAATGGCAAGGAATTTGGAGTGGGTAGACCATAGATCCTTCATTCATTCTTTTCATAAAAACTTACCATAAAAACTTATTTAGACATTTAAAAAGATAAAACTACTATATAGGAAAGAATCATAGTTGTTCTCTTTTTTTCCTGATTATCTTAGATCTCACTAAACAAGTTGCAACTATCAAAAGGTATGAAGCAAAATACAAATAAAGTTGATTACATATTTTTAAAAAAATCCATAAGGAATCCTACCACAGAAAATACTAATACAAAGCCTAAGGAATAATGATAATACTAGAGCAATTCAATATGACAGCTGAAAGGCTACCTTGTTTAGTAATTTTTTTTCAAGAAATTGGAGAAAAAACATGTAATGAAAAATAGGCAGCGACTTGAAGAAGTTCACAGGAAAACAAATGATTTACAAAACATGATTTAAAAATATTAAAATCATTCTCACTAATGACTAAGAGTATAACATATAAAGTTATTTATTTTTTAGATTGGTAAGTATTTAAAGATGTGATACATACACAGCTGGGAAAGTGTGGGGAAATAAACTCATTAACTTTTGATAGGAATAAATTGGAATATTAACTTTGGAACAACCTTTATAAAGATCATTAATTAAAAGTACACATATATCTTGAGGTTGTATATATAATTTTAACAAAAGAGACACCTATTATAAAATTTAAAATTACATGTTATTTTTCTGACTTATTAATTGTGAATCTAGCAATCTATTTTGCATTTATTAACCCACATTATGTAAATAAAAATCAAGAAACTTTATTATAACATTGATTGAAATGGATAATAGAAAAATATGTTTAAAGTTATTGAAATGATTAAAAATGACAATTTTATGAACTAGAAACAACTACTAAATGAAAATAAGTATAGGTACATAACTTCACCTGCAATTTTTTTTCCAAAACCTAGATTAATTTCAAACAAGTGAAAAGTGAAATATAATGTATAAGCAGATTATATGTACCTTGATGCCATTTTTTGGTCACAAACTCTATGTATTATATATTTTTCTATGTATAAAATGTACATTAAAATAGAAACAATATCTGGAAGTATGCACTGAATTGTTGAAAAGACCTACTTCTCAAGAGTATGATGCGTTTTAAACAAGGCTTTCATTTGTACATGATTCCTTCTTTATTAAATAATCATCAATAATCATGAATTATGAAATTAGATAGATACATGCCCATGCATGTATTTAGTATAATATAATATTTAGGAAATTCCCCTATGATTATTTTTCTGAATTTGTTAATATGTCTTTTTAACTTTGTCATTCCTCCTTTAGAGAGATCATTGTCCCATCTGACTTAAGAAAATCTGATTTTATTAACAAACTAAAAAAGGCATTATGTAGGAAGAAAGGCAGGAACAAATTTTCAATCATTGTAACGGTGTCAGTGTTTTATAACAAACAGCTGCACAACTTCATGGTCCTAAAATTATGTTTTCTGTGAAATAAGAGAACAGTAGAAAGAGGAGCAGAAAATGAGCCATATGCTTATGAAAGGGCATGGGTTTGTCTTTCAAAATAACTTGAGTTCTAATCTCCTGAATTGTTTTCACAACTTTGTTTTTAAGTTTATGTATTTATTTTGAGAGAGAGACAAAGACAGGGAGCTCAGGGGAGGGGCAGAGAGAAAGAGAGAGGCAGAGAGAGAGGGCAGGCGGAGAGTGAGAATCCCAAGGAGGCTTCTTACTGTCTCCTGAAGCCCAGCAAGGTGCTGAATCTCACCAACCACTAGATCATGACTTGAGTCAAAATCAGGAGTTTGTCACTAACCTACTGAGCCCCCCACTGCACCTGTGTTCACATCTTCTATGGGGAGGCAAGAATGACTTCACAAAAAGACTTGCAACAATGGAAACTCAGAATAAATGTTATTATGTCACACCATTCCAGCTCTTAACCAGGATGCTGCCTCTTTTTGGTTTTTAAATTTTTTAAGTTTATTTATTTTGAGAAAGAGAGACAGAGGGAGTGAGGAAGGGGCAGGGGGTGGGGCAGAATATCAGAAGTGGGCTTTGTGCAGATACCACAGAGTCCAATGTAGGTCTTGAACTCACAAACCATGAGATCATCACCTGAGCTGAAATCCAACACTTAACAGACTGAGCCGCCCAGGCACCACTCTTTCCTTGTCTTTAGAATGAGACAGAAGTCATTTGTCCTGCCCCTGGGGCTCTGACAGGGAGGGTGCACGAGGTCAGCTGCTAGCACACACTTCTCTCCATGGAAGAAACAGGTCTCTCATGGGGAATATGGAATATGGTCATTTTCTGAATGGTTCTGGGGATGGGACAAATATTTTCTTCCTTTAATTTCAAACTTTGAAAGGAATAAAATCAGTTTTCTTTTCTCTGTGTAGAGATCATACTCAGCATATTGGTTCTGCATGAACAACCTCCCCACCTTCCCCACCTCCCAATGCAGTTTTCTCTTCATAACAGCCTTCTATAACCACTGTGAATATCTTCATATTTAACCTAATTGTGCACCTGTTCCTGCACATAGCAAATTTCACTGTATGTTACGTGAATTTGTCATTATTCTCCTGGTGAGGAGAGAGATTGGGCAACATCTATCATTTTATCATTTATACATGGACACAGCTCAAAAGAATAAACAATGAATTGCTTAACATGGCCTTTCAGGTTTGCCTTACCCTGGAGAAGCATTTCCTCTTCATTGAACAAAACCAGAGAAACTGAAAGGCTGTATCAAACTCTGAACTGGAGAGACCTGACCTCTCCCCACACACTAAAGATTTGGTCTTTCAGACATAATTTTGTGTGGAATTGGAAATAAAAGAGCAGCTCACCTGCACAAAGGGAACTATTACCTTGTAAAACAACCGCTTAACTTGTGTATTTGGCAGTGTGTGTGTACCAAAGGATAAAATACATTTCTCCCAGTAGGTGCTGGTCAAACACTGGAAATACCATTGTATCCAAATGCACCATTCTATGGCAAAAATGCCCACACTGAAACCATAAGTCAAAGAAATTGTACTTTTTTAAGTTCCTGGAAAGCAGATGGTCATATAATCAAAGATTTTAGTTTATTTACAAAGTATTTTTAAACATTAAAGAGTTTAAAAATTTTTTAACATTTATTCATTTTTGAGAAACAGAGACAGAGCATGAATGGGGGAGGGGCAGGGAGAGGAAGACACAGGATCTGAGGAAGCAGTCTCCAGGCTCTGAGCTGTCAGCACAGAGCCCAATGTGGGGCTGGAACTCAAGAAAGGTGAAACCATGACCTGAGCCAAGGTCGGAATCTTAACCGACTGAGCCATCCAGGTATCCATATAAAGAGTTTTAAGCTCACAAAAAGTGGTTGCAATGGCAGATGATAGGGACTAGGATTGATGTTTTGATGCAGTAATGGTTCAGGCTTATATCTTCCCAAGCAAGGGATGACGTTTCCCCATCTCCCTCCTGGAAGCTGAGAACACCCTTTTCAATGTCTTTTTTTTTCTCCCCCAAAATGAAACTCCCATCTCAGATCTCATTTTCTCATGTCTGCCTGAGAAATCTATCTTCCTTGACACCAAT